TTATCTTTGGAGCAGATTGCACATCATTTCTGTAATGTCAGTCTGTGCCCTTTCTTCTAAGCATTACCTACCGAGGTTAGCTATACCCCCTGTAGCGCATTACTGTTCTTCACCTCCTTCATAAAAACAAATAGCTCAAAAAGCTGATAGCGATAATACCAATCACATTCAATAGTATGATTTATTAATTAGCGATCATCAAAAGCTAAAATATATTTCTGGTATTTCATAAATAATATGGCATAATCCACAAGTAACTGATAATGATATTAGAGAGTAATCATTATCACCTACTTACAATTCATTTTTCTATTTGATTAATTGAACTTTATTTAAGCCTTCTGTAAGTTGACAGTGGAAGATTCTTCAGATAATCTGATATGAATACATATGTGTATACATAGAAAATAATTTTACTACGTGAAATTACTAATGCATTTTGTTTTCACATACAATAAATTGTCGAATGGTTTTTAAGAGTGATGCGCTTCTGTTAGAGATGCAATAAGTTTTTAAAACAATAACATTTACAATCTGTGCTTTAAAGTGTCATTTTAGAGAACCAAAAGTAAATCATTCTGTTGATAATTTCTACTCAATTAATTAATTTTGCACCATAACCTTTGTTTCTTGCTGAATATTTTTTTAAGGAAGAATACCTTGTGATAAACATCTCTACTTTATATTTTAACAGGTCTATACTGTCCTCAGGTTCTGGAAAAAACGAAATTAGACTTTAAATTTCTTCATATGAGTATTTATTTTTCATTTGTTTTAATATGTATGCATATGCAAATATATTCACCAAAATATTGTAAATTTTTTGTCAGCTAATTGCAGCACATTGCATGACATGCATTCGAGATTCAACCTCTCACCTTATATATTTCAAAGTTTTTTGCAATAAATGAATGTTATGCGAAAAGTGTGAGATATTTTAAAGCACATTCATCAAAAATACCTGCCAGTAATTTTAATTTTTCATACCTGTATAAAGTAATAAAATCCTGTGTTGTTCAAGCATGATTTTCAAAAAGAAGCTAAAATTATGAGATGTTTTGGGGCTACATAATAGAATGATAACTCAAGTTGAGAGTTTGATGGTCTACACGATTGATAAAAATAAAATATTAGCATTAATAATGTTGATAGGTGCTAAATAATAATTAAATGGTAGCAACGCAAATTAATTTTATTCTAATTGCCAGTAATATTTTAATTTACATTAGAGTTACTGAATGCAATTGCAATAATTTCTTGCTTGTTGTTGACTGATTGCGCAATCATTGAACATCTTGATTACCAATTAGTTAAACGCTGAAGCGTGAAGTAACAAGCGCTTTCAAACAGATGTTCAGAAGTATGAAGACTTGACCTTGTCTTGACCTTTGTATCACCTACCATTCCTGAAGTGAAGGAACAGTGATTAAGCGTTACAGCAATATCATTCAATTCAAATTTACGTTAATTGGATCTATCAAGAAAAAAAACATATTGACAGATTGTACATCAGTTGAAGTATATATTATTGATGATTGAATGATATTAATTTGTAACATTGAGAGTAGAGTCGGGTGTTCTGATGATTCATAATGCAAGAACCTCAGAGAATTCTTTTACATTCGAATCACAAGCGAATTGCATGTACGCGAATATATGTTCCGCTTATATATTTATATGTGCATGTGTAATTGATACGATTCTCTTCAACGAATATTTTGTTGAAAAATTTATTTCAGTTGAAAATTGTGATAGTTTGGGATACCCACGCATAGTTGCAGGTATACATGCGCATGCATGTCGTTCAGTAATCATCACTTCAATATTGACATTTCGTTTAGCGTCTATCTATCACTTTGATTTCTTTTTATTCAGCGAAAAGTTTTAGAATTTTATAAGCTGTACAAAGAAAAAGGAGTAAATGAAGCTGAATGCAATAAATTTAATTGGTATTTAAACATTAGTAAATCATTTGTAGCAGAAAAAATGGTTATTAACAATAAGAGTTGAGTGAGAACAAAAAATGAATGTTTAGTGGTAACTCATTGATGACTAATTTCAGTTTATTTCTCTCTTCCTTTATGTGCTTCAGATTTTTGTAAATAATTCATGAGTTACAGATTTTGCAGCTTCTGCAAATAGAAGAAATTTGTTACTTTTTTCTTACTTCTTTAAACGGCGTTGTACATCCATTTGAAATTTTCTGGTAGAATTTCTCTTTTCGAGGGAAATAATTTCAATATGTCAGTAATAATTATTATATATGCATCACGAGTAAGAAATTGATGGAAATGAATAAAAGAAAATGCCTTATTGGTTCTTGGATCGTATCTCACGTTTTGAACTTAAGGAAACTTCCAGTCCGGAGTATCTGACAGGTTTCCGTACAAGTGCATGAATTAATGAGTTCTTTTTTCCTGAACTTTTCTTCTTCATATTTTGTCTGTCGGCTCTTCTTTTCTCTCTGAACAATCAACACTTCTCTACTTCTCAGATCATGGGAGAGGTAACAGAATTCCCGGGAAATAATAGTAGGTTTGGTTTTTTCGAACTATGATTTCAACATAAAAACCTAGATTTTTTGGCCTGTTTTTCTTCAATAACTAAAGAACAGCAAGGATATTGACAACGACACCGGCAATTTAATGGTGTAATTAGCATTGGTATGAGTGATTGTAAATTTCTCTAAAAGAAATAATGCTTTACTTAAAAGGTAATCAGAGAAATATCATTCATACAATACTGTCTATATACACATATGCGTGCGCAATGTTATTTGATGCAACTCAATTCAAGCAACCATTCATTTGTTGTCTTATTTTTATTTGGATTAAATGAAACAGCACTTCTTGGGCAGCCAAAAATGATAATTTCTTCACGAGTTGTTTATGACAGTTTCTGCACAGAATACTTAAATAAGAGCATTCGCCATGATAAAGCTATTTATCTTAATTACCTTGATTTTTCAAGACTCCATGATGTTGATCAATCTGATCACACTAAACTTCATGAATCATTTAAAAGAAAAAGTGTAATAAGAGCACTATTCATCAGCCTGCATTAATCACACAAAAAATGTTGTAGAAAAAATTTCGTGCAAGTAAACAACAAGCTCTATCGTTCCACTGTTCATCACTTATATTTTTGCTTCCGTATTTCTCCACCTGTTTCCCCTCATTTTATCGATTGTTTGGGCGTATTATTTACTTCATCATCTAACTGTAGATAACTTTCAACTTTTTGGTCAAACTTTTTTAAAATTATTTACTGACCTTCTCAGAACTTTTTGATGTTACTCAAATTCTGCAAATTACCTATTCTTTCTATAAAGTATAACAAAGAAAGGTACTGATTTAATCTGTCAAATTAAAATGTCAAAGATCACACTTTTGTGCGCAAAGTGATTTAGTATTTTGCTTTTAATCACATATTTTTCAGAAATTATCGAAAATAAGCAATTATTTGTTTGAGTATTGTACGTAATGCTGATAATTTTAATTTTTTTGCTGTTACATACATCGCTTCTATGGAATGTGGTTAATTCACTTGAATGCTACACGGGTTTTTCAATCATTCGTGGCCAAACAGTTGGTACAACCAAAGAAGTTTGCAGTAAGCAATCCGATTCTTGCTACCGTGCCATGGCCGATGTCAATTTATTAAGCACTGTTAAAAAGGCTGGATGCTCCACTATTCGGTGCTATGTTAGTTTCAATCTTTCTCAACATGTCGAATAAAAGCTAAATAGGAAAAAGGGCGATTACATCAGTGAAAAAGTGTGATCCTTAGGAGACTTATTATTGAATACTTCTAAATGATTAGCAGTCTTGTTTGGTTCCAAAGACAGTAAAAAATCAGAAGTATTCATTGTTCACCACGAGAATTTTGTAATTTATTCTTTACTCTTTTTGAGTGCTAATGTTTAAAAATATCTGGTTGAGGACAAAAAAAGATAGATTAATCAGATCCTAGTTTCTACGAGAAAGATGGAAGGCCAAGTAATCTTTGATATTTGAAAATTACATGAGATTTGCAAATCTGGTTTTATTTTACTGGTCAATTAAAAAGGCTTACTTTCCAGCTTAACAGAAACAAATGCATCGAGCAGGACTTTTTCGGTAGCAAAACAATGTTCTGCTGCTGCGATGATCGAGATTTGTGCAACGCTGCTTCAACATCTTTTGCAATTATCATCCATATTTTAGTACTTCTCTACTTCATTTTATGATCAAATTGGCTTTTCATTTTACGTGTTATGTTATGGAATGTTGAAAAGCAGTATGCTATAGGAAATCTTGTTGGCTTCCGAGTCCAGGTATTACTATTTTTCCTGAGATAAGTGTTTTTCGTTGTATTAAAGGCGAGTGAAGATTGGTTGAGAAATCCGCATTACAATTTGGTATTCCGTTTCCTCTTAAGACTTGAAAAATTCGCAGTTCATTTCAAAGATTTTTTCAAGTTGTATATTTTCATAGTTAATTAGATAGTATCTCTAATACTAACGTCGTATAACTAAAGAAAATTAAAGCTTTATGGCTTCTAGGACAATCGGTCTCCAGATATTTCATCATTTCGGTATTTCTTAACAGCAGTCATTTGAGCCTAACGTAAATAAGTTTGCAATTATATATATGAAAATAAAGATTGGGTTTCATTTTTTACTCATTTAGTAAGACTTATGAAATGCGTGACGATCGAAGTTATGCTATAGCCATATCAATGGTAACCTAGGTATTATATTCTTGACCTTTATTGTATCACGAAGAATTCAAGCCAAAAATACCACATAACATAACAAAATAACAAAAACCCCCATTTAATGCAAAGTCTGTGCTTGCTCTCATTCGCTTGGCTGTCTAATAAGCATTCACGTTCTGCTTATACAAATATTGTCTGCATATGTGATAATTCTCCTTCATTTCGATAGAGGAACGGCAGATTTCTGTCACAATAATGAATTATGAATTCTAGAACTTCTAGAATTATTTCGATTCATTGCAATGGAAGGAAGCGGTTGCTCCCAAGAACTACTGCAGGACCAGCAATATCGCGTCATTTACATTGTGAGCACTCTTTTATTTTACTGGAAGTTCGAAATATTCTAAAAATGTTCTTATTCAAGTGAATTACTTGAAAAGTGATTTAAAATACCATGAGACAGTTAAGGTCATTACATTTGTTAATCCCTTCTTTAGGCTGCATGTGATTCTGAGCAAATAAAATATAGAATTTTTTAAGCATTAAATTAAAAAAAATTATAATCTGAACTTGAATCAAGTAACAGATACTATGAACTGATGATTAACTGAGAGAAAAAATTCAGGTACATCCTAATATGAAAGTAACACGAGAAATACAAGTAAATGGTAAAGCCATCGAAACGAAATACGCCGGTATGCAACAATGAATCTTACTGAGCAATAACAAACTGTGATTCCTAGATAAGAAATTGCTGAAAAAGTCCAACCTGATTTTATTGTCAGAGCTGAACTTTGATTTCCTTTATTCCTAATGTTATCTAAAAAACAGAAATAGTCATAGCACTTCATCAAATACAACTACAAATCGCTTAATCATTATTAACTCAAGGCGAGTATTTGTACATGTCCAGTGAAGGACAAGCTATGTTTATTAATTATGCTCCCAGTGGGCAATCTCATTACAGCGATGATTTCCCAGTTCATGCCTATCAAGGTAATATCTTTTTGCAATAAACATGTAAATAAAAAGAGAAGAAAACTGAAGCTTTCAAAATTTCGAACAAAAATAAAGATCGAATAATGCAACGACGAGATTTACACTTAGCGTTTAATGAAGCACTGTCAGTAGACATAAGATGAATGACTGACAGATGCTGATATTTGTGAAGTACCGTGAAGATTAAGAGTCTGGTTTCCATTTCTGATCACAGACTTGATAAATTCGAATGATTCATATTTTATAACCTTTTCCTAGTAAGACTGAATAACAGTATTTGTTAGTTTTCTTTGATGATTGGTATGAAGAGATTTTGATAGAAGATGTGTTACAGTGCACACGCCAACAGCTTACAGTGGTGATGATTGCTTGAGCAGACGATGGACAGAAGTTATCCAAAAACTTGTTCATTTTGCTCGGAATAATAGTGAAGAAAATCTATAACAAAGACTGGAACAAAATCCTATTGAAAAATTGCTATTTGCAATCATAACTTGGCTGCTCATTTGAATGAAATTTATGTAAATCATTAAATTACAACTTCAACTATTCTATACTACATTACATGACTGAGCAACTCTAAAATAATAAATGAATATGAAAAATACTCATAGCCAAGCGTTAGTCTGCAAATTTAAGATGCACATAAATGAGATGTGTTTGCTCTGATCATTAATATCCTTTTGGCTTATTTCTGGCATATATCCGCTTGATAAGCCTAGTACTTCCTTTCCATGATAGAGTATGTGTGAACAACTGTAACTTTCCACAAAGATGCCCGAACCATAAGATCACTATTACAACACTCACCGATAATTGAGCATGCTGATGAACGACGTAAGCACGTGAACACGTGAACTAAACTAATCCAAACGTTCTGAATGCCATTTCAAACTTGAGCTGCAATAAGTGCGACATAACTCGTAGCGATGCACTACCGTAACTAGTAGACTAGAACTTTCTATGGAGAGGAGCGCAGGTTGGTGGGGAGAGAGATGGATCGATCGGAGCTATTCCGTTTCAGGATTGAGGGGAGGTCATTAGCTTGAGCTGTTCCGGTCAAGAATACTCTCGGACACTGTTAGAAAACACGTGTCACTGCTTCGTCATCATCCGTCTTTCGGTCATTTCTTTACAACCGTCATCAAATCTCTACACTTCCCTTCTCATCCAATCACTTCTGTCCTTTCTATTTCCCTTTCTTTTTTACCATTTTCAGTGAGATGTATAATTAAGTTGGGCGAAAATTACTTTGGTATCGAAATAAGATGCCGTTGGTCTCGGAAGTAATAATACCTTATCATAGTTTGACTCTCTTTTTAACAATTCAGCTTTGATAACTGTTTTGGCAGATTGACTTCATGTCAGCTTGTAAGTAGCAATGGATTTCGGTTGTTGTTTCGAGATATTGCAATGTTTCGGTGGAAAAGTCTTGTTACGTTTTTGTTTTCAGATTCAGTTGGAAATTTCGAGAGATAAGTTTCATTCCTTTAATTATTCTACAAAACACTGATTTGAGAGAAGCAGACAACAATGTTTTTTAATGGTCCGGTAGACACAACATTATACGATATTCTAAAAGTGAAACCCAATGCTACCGACGACGAAATCAAAAAGGTTTTTAATTTTTTTTCAGCATGAAGAATCTCTTTTAAAAAGAGAAAGAGGAACTGGTAGAGAGTATTTATTTATTTTAGCAAAGTAGAGTGACGTTTTTCTACTCCAAGAAATCAACACTTATCGAAAATTAATCCACAAAAAATTATGTGCTGTTAGCATTTTGACTTACTCTTTCAGTCCTATCGACATTTGGCGAAGGAATACCATCCTGATAAAAATCCATCCCATGGTGATAAATTCAAGGAAATATCGTTTGCTTATGAAGTGCTAAGTAATCCAGAACGAAGAGGAGTTTATAATGCCAAAGGTCTCGATGGTATCAAAGAAGGTGATAGTGGTAGGTAAAAGATACATATTTCAAACAACATTTACACTTATTTAAATATATTGTATATAATTGTAGGAGGTTTTTCCGGTGCCGAAGATCTTTTTTCAACGCTGTTTGGTGGTGGTCCGCTTTCGTCATTTTTTGGTGGTGGTGGTGGACGACGGAGAAAAATGCGTGGTCAAGACATGGCTCATCCACTAAAAGTATCTCTGGAAGATCTCTATAATGGCAAGAAATCGAAATTACAGCTATCAAAGCGAGTAATTTGCAGCACTTGTTATGGGTGAGTGAAGGATGTGTCCAAATTTTATTTCAAGATTATAGAGGTTTTTTGTATATTTGCCATACATTTCAAACAGATCTTTTTTTTTCAGGAGGGCAAATGCATTAATATCTTATTTTAGGTGTTTTTTTATGCTATCTAAAATCTTTTTTCATCTTTTTTCAATAAGTGGAGGCTTTTTTGAGACAAACTTTAGTTGTTTTTATCAGTCACAGAATCATCGAATGTTATTTAAAAATATCATTAGCTTGAAAGGAATGCTTAAGATATGTTTTTAAAAGAAGAGGTTTCCAGACAGCGTTATCAAATTTCTTATATAGACACTCTTTAGGATGTTTTATAAGTTGCAAAAACATGAAATTTGCAATGATATCTTAGAAAGATTTTTTATGATATTATACAGATTGTCTTCGAAAAAATTGTACGGCAGACTTTTTACTTAATGCCTAATATACGTAACTCCTGCGATGCACTATTTTTTGGCACCTTTATTGATTTTTCTTGCACTGGTATTGCTATATTGATCTAGTTTGTTACATGTTGCCATATTATTATAGCGGTAAGTGCTACAAAGTAATGAGTATACGATAATGCAAACATTTCTGTTAATGGTCAAGAATGAAGTTTTGACTGTTATTATTTATCAAAATGGGGATGTTCTTGTTTCTTTTAAATTTCGTTTTTAGTGTTTAAGTTTGGAGTTATTATCTTTCGGAGCTACTATACAAGTACTCAGTTATTGTCGAATTGAATGAATATTGTCTTGGGAGCCTTAGCCGCTTGCTGTGATTGGAATCTGTGAAGCATTCTTGAATTAACTATTCATATTTTCTAATGATCTCAAATCTCCTTAATTCTTTTATAGTCATGGTGGTAAGGAAGGAGTATTGTATGACTGTCAAGAATGTCGTGGAGTTGGTGTCAAAAATATTATAAGAAAACTTGGTTCCGGTCTAATCCAGCAAATGCAAATCCAGTGCCCAAATTGCAACGGAACAGGTTTGAAACCTGTTTGAAAACACATTAAGATGACGTACTGCCGTGCATTTTTTTCCGTTTTTAAACTCAGTTCTTTGAGCTAGCGATTTTATTTACATTTTCTTTTCTAAATAGAATAGATTGCAGGAACGAAGATACCGGAGAAAGATCGATGTAAAACATGTCGAGGCGAGAAAACTGTTACTGAAAAAAAGATGTTGGAAGTGGTAATTCAAAGAGGAATGCATGATGGACAAAAGATCTGCTTTAGGGGTGAAGGAGATCAAGAGGTTTTGCACTCTTTGTCTTTGTAGTTGAAAATGTATAATATTTAGATTTCCCTCTTTCGGTTTGTAAACAGTAACCGGAAATTAAATTAATTTCCGGTTACTGTTTGCAAACCGAAAGAAGAAATCTGAAGGAAGATAAAGATTTCGAAAAATCTATTTTGTTTGATCTTATCTTTTTTTATAGCCGGGAGTTGAACCAGGTGATGTAATAATTGTGGTGCAATCTAAACCACACGATATTTTCCAAAGACAAGGCGATAATTTACTTATTCACAAGTAAGTTTTAAATATATGATTTTCGTACAAAACATTATAGAATATAAACATCGTATATTACGCGAAATTCATGTTTCATCAGTTATCATTTTAAATTTATTTTTCAGCAGTTATAGTTTTTTGAAATTGCGATGATCTGAAGTAAGATAAAAATCTGGTTTCAGGAAAATATCATTAAATGATGCATTGTGTGGTTGCCAGTTTGTAATCAAGCACTTGGATGGTAGAAAACTGATAGTAACTACTCGACCCAATGATATTTTGGAACCAGGTATTGCTATTTATTCATAGAGTTTACTGTTTATTCTCGAGAATCCTCGTTTTGTCGCAATATGGAATAACAACAACTGAGTTGTCGAAAAACGGTGGACATTTATTTCACACATCTCTCTCGATTTCACTTTGTTAGGCGTATGATTTGGCTTCGTCGGGCATTTCTGCACAATAATATATTATTATTGATTCAAATTTAAAACCTATGAATAGAGGAGATTTAATTAGCACAAATATTTGATTCACATTCTGATAAGAAACATCATTGATACTTTGCACATATCATGAGCAAAGATATTTTTATAATAGTATGCAAGTTTTTATAACGATCATAATAAAAGATGGTGAACAAAACAAGAGATATAAATGAAAATTTTTGAATAGATTGTATTCGTGGCATTCGTAACGAAGGGATGCCTATAGCGGACAGTCCGGGTGCTGGGGGTATTCTCTTCATCAAATTCAAAATCGAATTTCCGGAAGACAATTTCTTGAAAGATGATTATAAGGTTTTATTTTGTTCAACTTTATTTTAAAGTGGAAATAGGACTTTTTTCGGCTCCTATTGAATCGGTTTACAACTCTTATGATTTTAAAGCTTGCTTGCCTGTCTTCGTTGATGGTCTCTCTAAGGAACTGAAAATTAATTTTCTAAGTAACGTCATTTCGCTGTTCAGATTTCGGTTTAATTCGTCTTCCTTAAGCATACTTTCACTTGTTGCATTCAGCCGTAGACAAAATTTTAGCAAATGTATTTCAAAATAAATCCAATGCTTTTGCTTTTTCAGTATTTAGAAGCGCTCTTGGGCGGTCGCCCGCAAACAGGTCCGTTGCCGGAAGGTGAAAATGTAGAAGAAGTTTCTCTGATGTCTTACGAAGAGCGCCGCTATGAAAAAAGAGGTCGTAGTGGTCCAGGTGAAGTGTATCAGGATGATGCTGATGAAGAAGACGAAGAAATGAGTGGTGGCGGTGGCACACACAATGTTCAGTGTGCCCAATCATAGTCCTTTGGATCTAGTAACTTCGAAAAATACTGGAGAATTCATCCTGTAAACTCCGGTGCATCCTGGGGTTCCAGATTAAGAAAATTTGATAAAATCATTGTTCGTGGCATAAATTCCGCTGAAATCTTGGTACTTTTTTTTCTAGAAATCTGAATTGCTTTCTTTTCACTTGCTCTTATACGAAAATATTATATAATTGGGTAGCAATATTTTTGTCTTTTTCTAATATCAGCCAGCTATCGTGCTTCTTACAGATATTTTTGAGGAGACCTTTGATGTGTTTTCCTGGAACAGCTTTTATTCGTAAATTTTTCTTATTTTTGAACATCAGTTGCAAAGAAAAAAGAACCGTCGGAAGCAAAAATTAATCTGAAGCAAATTTTAGGAAAGGTTTTTGAATTCAAGATTATTCATCCTCCTTAGATCTGCCTTGTTTTGTTAAAGTTACAAAAGTCGACTTTCCTGTGGGAATGACTTATTTTTCCCACTGCCTGTTATTCGAAACAATTGTAAACATTACTCGAGCTTGTCTCCAATTGATAAATCTGTATAACCTTCTCGGATAAGATTTGCATATTTAAAGAGTAGTCTGGATAAAAAGATTTCTATATTTGGCTTCCCACTTAACAAAAAGACGATCACAGTAATAAAAAAAAACAATCACGGAATCATGAACGACGTTATAGATAAATCTTTGTATCATTTACAGAACACTGAAGTAGAAAGAATGTATTAGCAATAATGCACAGATGTGCCACAGCAAAATAAAGGACTAAAGAATGAGTGCAAAATATAGGACTGGTGTGGAGCGTATCACCCACGTTTGTAACTGAGTTTATCAGCCGCATTTGTTCCCCTATAATTACTACTAAATTTTTTCAAACTGTTCCGTGGCTGAAATGTTTTTGATATTTAAGAATATGACACTTCCTCTATTCCAAAAAATGCAATTCACCGCGTTCCAGAAAACCAAATAGCTTCGAAAATATAAGCATAAGGCCTTAGAGACATTTGGTAAGGACCAAGACTAGAAGTTTACTGCAGAATGATCAGGAAATGAAATATGCATGCGCGCATTAGTTTCCATTTGCCCGATTGGCCGTTTCCTGAACCTTCTGACGAAAATATTTTCCACTGCACACGCCTTAAAAATAGTTCAATGCGGCTATTTTTAGTAGCGCAAAGAATAGAAGGACTAGATGATCGGAATTTCAAATGCATGGTGTGTTACATTCAGCTCTATTTCATGAAACAAATGTATCTGCTGTTCTGCTATCTAGGTCACTCGTTTATCTACCACCTTCGAAAATCTACCATAACTGATGAAAAGCACGGTGAAAAATAAAACTAACCAGCAATTGCGCCTCCAAAGGCGGCAAAAATACCGGCTACTGTTGAACCCGCGACGAATCCCACAGGGCTACCCACTGCAATACTACCAACGGTGGCTGCTATCACTGGGTACTTCACTGTTTGTGCAACTTGAGCTTTTTTCAAATTTTTGTGAGCTTTATGGACATCTGTCTGAGCTTTTTCGACGTGTTCCTCAATGCTGTCAACAACTTCGTGCTGCGTCTATAAGCGAAATTTGATTTTAACTGAAAGTTTCAAACTGTGAATAAATCGAAATAACATGGAAAAGAGACTGGGTATCACCAGAATTAGTTGCTTTTCATTATAAAAGATGGACCTTGCTTTGAAAAGTGCATCCCTCATGCGATCGTCCGAATTCGTTCTTAGATTTCATTTAACTATAAAAAATTATTAGACGTCGTACTTACATGAACAAGCTGAGCAAGTTGCATCATCATTTCATTCAAATCTTTGATATCCTAGAACGAAGTAAAATCGAAGATACCAATTTAACAGAAGATTGAATTTTTCTTAATATTCTTACTGTTATGAAATTCACATCACTATAATCACAGGCGTAAAATTAACTCACACAGGACAATTTCTTAATTTCTATAGCATTCATCTTAGCTTCTTTTGCTTGTAAAAATAATGAATTTCTCATTTTTTGTTTCTCTTCTTGCAATCCATATGCCTAAAATAATGATGATATATTGCACAAAATCTCCAAAAGAGATGACCAATAAAAAACAAGAAATAAATTTGGAAGAACCAATAACTTCAAGATAACATTTCAGCCATACACAGGTTCTTCCCTCCTCATTCTCAAAACAAATAAATTTTTAAGCAATCAAAGAAACCTCTGTTCTTTCTTGCAATAAAGACTTTTCATACAAATCATCATAAATATTCTTCTTTTCCAATGTTTTAGTAGTAACAATCCTATCCACTGCATTGATAACTCTCTGAATTTGAACTCGGATTGGTTCAATATGAATATCGAAACGTTCTCGATCAATTATGCTTAGATGAGACCGCACATTCAGAACTTGTTGCAGGCTATCCAATAACTGATCAATCTTCTGTGAAACATCTCGTTTACTCGTGGAATCCAATAGTGAGTTGGTCTACAAACAAGAAACTCAAAGATGTTGCAGTCAAAAGATGATTTTTTTAAGTACCACTGTGCTTCATCTCAAGAATAACTTCATCCACGGTAAAATCAATTTAACGCTTTAAACTCCGAATTTATAAATACTGCTACGATTAAAAATATCGTTCCCTAATATCATAATCTATTTAAAATAGTTAACCTCATCAATATTCAAAAGAAGTAACTGTAGCTCACAAAGGTTCACTCTAGTCATGCGATCAAATCGTTCAATAATTACTACAGCTCGAGACCAATCCATAATTCTGAAATAGAAAACTGCCATATGCCTCCCATCATCCAATCCCACTACTTATTCAAATAAATGTATCACCTTTCCCATCTTTTCCCATCCTAAGTTTTATTTTCTCACAAGGGACGTCTTTTGCTAAGTACTCCTTGTATCATCCAAACTGCTGATGTACTAATGAATTCTAATGAAGTTAAAAGCCTGATTAAAACCTCATTAAAACAACTCCTTCAACTACGCAAGAACGATATATATCGTAGTAATAATTTTAATTCAACTTGAAATACACCATATAAATGAAATAACGATAACAAATTGGACAAATAATTTTTATTCAAGTTTTGTACAACCAGTCAACTAAATAATCACAAAAACTGGAACTAATTAACAGCATTTGCTGATAATGACGAATTTTTTCACTTCTTTGACAAATTCCCTGAAATTAAAAAATTAAATTTCGAACCAAACATTATTCCCTGAAGAAAATTTAAGGCATCAATCATTTATATTAAACTTGACAAAAAAGATAAGGAATTTCCAAGAGTATTTTGTAGCTGGATAATGTAAATGTAAACTTAACAGAAGGACGAAAACGAAAATTATAATGATAAACATTTTAATTTATTAAATTCCACATTTTTGTTGAAAATAACAACGGTACCTATTATTTTTATGTTCTTCGGCAACTTTCCCTAATAAATCATTGAAATTTCGTAGAGCAATATGTGTACTATTATCCCTCCATGCTGTTGGAACCAACTTCATCAAAGCTCGACATTTCCGTATCATAGATTGATCAGATATTACTGCGCATTGTAATGCGGGCATCATTCGATTTATGATACCGTCCAGAACCAACTCTCGCATTTTTTCCTCAGATAAAACGACAGAGAGGTAGCTCAGACAACGTATGAGCTGTAACTTAGAAATAATGAATAACGAACAGTTCCAAAGAAAAAAAACATCCATTTCCACATCTTAGGATTGACAGAATTGTTTCTCCTGTCACAATGAAATTCACAACTGCTCTCTTCTATAAGCCCTGTCATTTAACAATAGCCGATTGTCTCAGCCATTAGCAAAATAAGAGAACGAACCTTAACAGAAGTCCAAGTCTGTCGATCTAAGAATGCTTTACAGCCGGTGGCAGCATTTTCAACAGCTCTAAAAAATATTTGAAAATTTTAATTTATGCACTTCTATCTAATAATTAAATAAGTTAATCAAATAAAAACGTACTGCTTTGAATAAATGGGAACAAATAAATCTTCATCAATAGCGTCGTGCGCTCGTAGACATATAGTTTGTAGAAGTTTTTGCACTGGCCGACTACTTGGTACTAGCGTTGGACATTCATCAATCAGTTGACTGAGCAAGAAACCCAGATTTCGACACTGGTGCTGCGATAGAGGGTCCCATCGCTCACGAATCAGATCTAAAAATAAATCTGCTTGAATGCATTATTCCTAAATTGTAAACAGTCTACAACATTAAAAGATATTTCTAAATGTAATAAAATGACATTTATAAATTAACATCTCTGTAAACTGTTCAAAACACGAGTTTGAGTAGAAAAGGTGTCATTTTCCTTTAGTCTTTTAATTCTGACCTTATCTGTCTCCATTTTTTCCTCTTAAAACTACAGATATAATATGTATCTCTGTTCATACACAAAATTTTCTGAAAGGTTTATTTTCCCAAAAATTTACTCAAATATTATGAAAAATGCTTAAATCCAGATTTTAACGGCTATTAACTAAAAGTTAACGAACAAAAAATATTAAAAGCTTGTTGCCACCTAATAAATTCTAGCTAGAAGTGCACATATTTGATGTTACTTAAGTGAATGCTATGCTTTAAGGCACCTGTAATTTTCCATAAAACAACCCTCTCAATGCACAGAGGTACAAGTGAGACAACGACAGGATGTTCAACGTTAATATTTGAGCTTGATGCGGCACATGTTATTAAATCTTCGTACCAGCGCATCGAATTCACCGGACGACTGTCATTCTGGAAAGAAAAAATTTGCAATATAGAAGTAAAAGATGAACAATTCAACTACAAACATAAATGCATTATGAAATGAAATTTTTTTCCTAAATTCGAATGCAATATTTTTCATTAAGAAGTTTGTGCAAAGCTTACAAGAAACTTTTGCAATTTCAAAAGGTACTGTAAGAAGAAGGGCATAAATATCTTCATCAGTCGATCGCTATCAAATTGTTAAACTAAAAGTTCTGTAAACTTTAAGAAAAAATACCTCAAGCGGTCCCCAGTCAATTAATTCCAAACGAATAAATAATGAGATAAGCTTTGGAATGCAAAGATGAATGTAAGCGTTGGTAAAAGACTCCTCATCATGTGCTAACCAGTCAATAAATCTTGACAGAATTCGATCAATACGACAAAAATCATCAAGTGCATCAACAAATACAGTATTCGCCGCTGCACGGATCTCATCTGTAAATGCAAATTTTTATTAATTCTTAAGCGTCTTCCTACGAAATTTCTAGTCTTTTCCTTTTGAATGCACTAAATGATTATAATACACACCAATCGATTGTTGGCAAGCCACAATCTCACTATTTGTCTCTTCATCATCTGTACTCAAGCCTTCTTCATGTGAAACACCTTCTAAAGTATTTTCACGCATACGACGGCGGCGCGACCTGAAAAAAAAAATCTTGATTTAGCATTATCTGCTCCTATCTTCTCGCTCCCGTCCTACCTTCTTGCTTCTCGTTCTGCTGCCCTTTGTGTGATTTCAGGAGCTCGTTGATGCAGTGGTCGACCGGCGGCAGCTGCCGAGCATTCATCATACATATCATGCACATCGTTTCTTCTTCGTGTTCGAAGTCTTCGAGCCCTTCCATCTAAAATTTCAGCCATTCGATTTTCCAAGTCTTTGACTTCATCTATCTGAAATACAAACAAACAGCTACTTCGTGTAAAATTTAATGTTGTTAAACAATTATCAAACAAATGAACTGTTATTTCAAAGCATTTACTTTTTCAGACAAGCATTCCAATAAATCCCTTGCGTATGCTCGCATATCCTGATAAACCTGGAAACGTTCTCTGATCTGTGGTTCTTCCATTTCAAGTTTGCCAATCATTTCCTTATTTTCTTGAATCTGCATATTTATCTTTTCAAATTCCGCTTCGCGGGCGTTTAGCGATTCCTTTCCATCTTTTTTGCTGCAATATTTTAATCCCAAGCGCTGCTGAGAATGTCACATAGAAAAATACTAGTGAACCGAAATTTGAAAATGAACTGAAAATGAAAGAACAAAGTAAACTTACCGCTGCTGCAACTTCGAAAGAACTTCCCTCAACGTCACAACTGTCGTCTGGCCAGATACTCGCCCAGCTGAAACAAAAATGATCAAAACAAATTGACAGATTATTCATCTTACAATCAGAAAATCATCTGATTCCAAGCAGTCATGTAAGGAATAAAGAAATAACAAATAAAGTAAATCTTCTTTAACATAATAATAGGACAGCAATTTTTACCCTAGTCAAAACGTGTTGATTAGATTTACTAACCGTGTGACACTGAAAGTACATCAGTTTCAGAAAAATCTATATCCATTTCCATGGGTAATTGTTCGCGATTTTCGGGTGGCAATTCCATACTACTTCTTATGGCTTTCATCATTGCTTCCATTTTTGCACGTTCACGTTCCAACATTTCCACCTTCAAATTCATATAAATGATAAATTTTCTGATTTCATACCACGACGGTAATTCTAGCAATTTCTCGTTTTAGTACTGCACGACCTAGCGCCATAAATATTACCTTATGGGATGATACTCCTTTCTTCATCTGTTCTCTTTCCCATCGTGTTACTTCCTCATCGGACTGTTCGTGATCACCATCACTCTCTATAAAATAATGAGAACTGATCAATAAAAAATGAGATTCATCTCATCAGAATAAAGTCATGTGACGGATACGGATGTCTCAAAAAGGAGCACATGTGTATATACTTTTGAAACATTGAATGATGCTTTTGAAAACTTTTGAAAATTGAATGATGCTTACGCCCCGTTCCTACTTGTATATTTACAAACTGCTACCTCCTCCTTCATGAGCGAGAAAATTCATATGCTCACTTCGGCGTCGTTCATCATCATCTGCTGCTAAACTTTTTAACGAATAAAACCTATAAATAGTAAATTAATGATTCAATCCCATGATTTTAGAAAGTTTTTTCTGATTTGATTTGCCAATAAAAATCAGCATGGTTATTTAATGCCTTCCTATTCGAATAAAATCTAATTCCGCCCCATTTTTTGAATTTCTCCAAAAATGGAAATTCTTTCCAATAATAACGGCTCCTTCAACAATGACGACAGAATTGTTTTTACACGAATCCTTAAAGGAATAATTAACCTTCCACTTTCTGGATCTTCATCACTTAGATCGTTTTCATCTTCACGTATTAATCGTGAACGTGCCACGGATTTGTCCTGTCAATTTGCTTATTCAGTTAAGTAACACAATATTAGCAAAAAATGCACTTAACAATCCAGTGTTGCATATCTCATATTTTAAGGTGATCAGCCATTTATGTATCACTAAGAAAGCTCCCTGAATTAGTTTTAAAAAATGTTTGATACTTTTTATAAAAATTGACATATCTTATTTAGGTACACTCTTTATTAACATCGACAAGTTAAACTTTAGTAACTTTTTCAGTTGCATAAGAATTTGTAAAGGGAAAAAATTTATTATGTTTACCTTTAACCGTTGCACATCATCCAGTGGGATTTGTCCATTAGAACCGACTAAACGCATTTTTTCTCGTTTTTTCCGCGCCTCATAAACAGTCTTCGCGTCCGGAATTTCCCCTGAAAGTTGACTATCATGGACGAGTTGTGAATGGAAAGGCAAATGAATGAATTGAGTTAAAATCGATAGATAAGTTACAAATATCAAAATTTCAGACCTCGAAATGCAGATGGAAATTTACTTCTTATGACCGAATCTTGCTCCAAATCTTCTTCGGGTTCATTTTTCGTTTTCAGTTGCTGACTATTGTAAGTCTAAATGAAATAAATTTCAGATTTGAATATAAAAAAGTTATCTCAGCATCTTCAAAAATGTAGCAATAAAGATAAAGACATCTGTAAAAAAATAAGAATTTTCAAGGAAAAAAATACATTAATATTCCTCGCTGATGGTTCATCTATTCTCACTTCTTGCTTGATTTGTTTGACAACTATTTTAGTTTCCTGCTCTGTAATTTCATCGTCCATCTTCTGCCGCAATTTAGCTTTTTTTGTTAACTTATCCAAACGTTTGTTAGGATCTTTGCGTTTGATTTTGAAGTCCGTTATATCATCGCCTGAAAGATAAGCACTAAAATAAAAAGTAGAAAAAAATTTTTTTTTGAAGAAAATGGAATAGCTGACTTCCATGTCTATTGCATATACGAAAATCTTCCGACATCACAAAACATATGTTTATCCCAGCTTCGGTGAAACGACAAGCTCCAGGTGGGTTACTCAGAACTTTACCTAATCGGCTAGCCTGGAACAGATTAAAATATCAAGAACTGGAGTAACAGATTTAATCTAGAAATCCAGTTTCCATACAGCCTACTTCCAGCCAATCCTTGATTAAAGTATCTTGATCAATCCAGGTAAGGTGAAGTATAATGTTGGAAGTGTAACACGTCACCGACAAACAACGAATTTGTCGCGTTTTTCTTTCTTTTTTGGTTGCAGCTTCGTTGAAAATCTACCGACCTTCAAAATTATCAAAACTGAGCAAGTGGTGCTCCTCTGTCACCACACCAGCCTGTAGTTCCTGGTTCTCTTCTGCTTTATTCACCTTTTCCGCATGTTGTTGTTGCTGTTGTTTGACCGTTCCACTGATTGATGTTCCTCTGATTGTTGATGCTGTTGATATTCCGGAACCAGCGCCACCGCTTTCACTACCACCACCACCATCATCATCATCATCCGATAGTACTCGTTGACGAAGATTACTACGAGTTTTCGTTTTTCGGAACATTTTTCTAAGCATAGAAAATATAGCTCAAATGAAAAATCGATTTAAACTGAAATTATTATGAATTCATCTTCATTAAGCTTGTGACCTAATAAAACAGCTCTTGAAAGAATAATAACTGGCAATAGACTTAATAAAATCTTTCAACAACTCCCATCTTCAGATATACTTTTAAGATGTTGCGTTATTAGCAACCTTAATCAGACGCAACTTCTCAACAACGCATTAGGATTTTAGTTGAAGTTATTGATTTGTGAGAAATTTGTTTACTAAATCAGTGTGTTCCTGCATAATGCAAAAATGGAACTATATTGAAGCAAGAAGTGCTTGCAAAAATATGAAAGAGAGCAAGATATAACGAATGAGAGAATACCTGAATCTAACACCGTTAATTCAATACATAAATTAATCATGAAAGATAAACAAATCTACAAATCTGAGGGCAAATACTAAAATTAACGCAGTTGAGATGTGCAACTATGATTTCAAGACGTATCAAGGGGACATCAGAGTGTATGTATGCTACTATGATGCAGGCGAGGCATTCAAACTGACCATTCGATTTGGTGTTTGAGTCGAATTACTCGGCCTTGATCTAAGTTGACCCGATTAAGAACGGAAGGGAAGCCAAATATGCGACCTGTAATGTATGTATATGTGTGTGTGTGTGTGTATGTGTGTGTGTGTGTGTGT